GTCATGTTTTGAGTTTTTTAAAAAACAAAACAATAAAAACCTGAACCCCTCTCCTTACCTCCCTAGATAATGAAATATTTTTTTTATTGCAAAGCCATGTTCAGTCTGTCATAAATCTGTTCATGTGAGAACCTAAAGAGGTCCAAAACATGAGACAGGGCAGAAGGCACAGCGTCCCCACTCATCACTCACTGTGATCACTGGGCTGAAACTCCCTAAATCAGTTCCCTACAGGAAGAAATCTAGCCTCCACATCAGAGCATCTCAATTATGATTCTGATCATAAGGCCTATCTACACCCCTGCTCTCAACCCATCCCTTAGTCACCTTACTCCCACCCTGCGCTTGGACTAGACATGGTACCAACCAAAAACCATAAGGGACTCTTCCATATGCATCACAATGTAATAGGTCTTTAAATGAATAGCTTCGTTTCACATGGGCTCACTCACTCTTCCTCCGCCAGGAACCTCCCTGGCTCAGTACTGAAGTCTATATTAAGTGATCTCTGACAGATGCTTTAGACAAGATTATAAAATATTTAAGGAACAGCCAATTTGCCATGGGAGAAAACTCCTTGCAGACCCAAAAGCTGGTGGTCAACAAAACGCTGATCTTGTCAGCAAGGACCATCGAAACATGGCACTAATTACTTATGTAGCCAGAAGAAACAGGCCATTTGCCCATAATTTAAGTCTATCCTGATTATTAATGTACCATGAGAGTGCCATGGAGTAGGGTAGGAGTTATTACAGGAGAAAGTCTTCCCTGCTACCACAATGCAGGCTGGAATTGATACAGTTTTCCACTTTACAGTCTTTTATCCCAAGGGAAGCATACAAGCCCAGTGGGCAGATTGATCAGGAGCTAGGATCACAAAAACCACACACCTCCTCCTGGTGTATTCTACCTAGGCAATGGCTGGCCCAAACAAGCAATTTGAAACCCACACCAATCATGTCAGGACCTGACAAAGCAGGAAAGTAGGGATCTACAGTATAACCTCAGAGTTACGAACACCAGCGTTACAAACTGACCGGTCAACCACACACCTCATTTGGAACCAGAAGTATGCAAGCAGGCAGCAGCAGAGACCAAAAAAAAAAAAAACCAAAAAAAAAAGAAAAATACTGTTTTAAATGTAAACAAATAAAAAAAAGGAAAAATAAAAAAAAAAAAAAAAGATTTGACAAGGTCAGGAAACTGTTCCTGTGCTTGTTTCATTTAAATTAAGATACTTAAAAGCAGCATTTTTCTTCTGCATAGTAAAGTTTCAATGCTGTATTAAATCAATGTTCAGTTGTAAACTTTTGAAAAAAACACAACCATAATGGTTTTTTCAGAGTTACGAACAACCTCCATTCCCGAGGTGGTCATCCTGAGGGTCTACTGCACTTCCTCTTGCATCTGAAGAAGTGAGGTTCTTACCCACGAAAGCTTATGCTCCCAATACTTCTGTTAGGCTTGGTCTACACTTACCCCCCCAAGTCGAAGTAAGGTACGCAAATTCAGCTACGTGAATAACGTAGCTGAATTCGACATACCTTACTTCGAACTTACCGCGGTTCAGACGCGGTCCACACGCGGCAGGCAGGCTCCCCGTCGACTCCGCGGTACTCCTCTCGTTGAGCTGGAGTACCGCAGTCGACGGGGATCACTTCCTGGTTCGATTTATCGCGTCCAGACCAGACGCGATAAATCGAACTCGGAACTTCGATCCCCAGCCGCCGAACTAGCGCGGCAGTGTAGACCAGCCCTTAGTCTTAAAGGTGCCACAGGACCCTCTGTTGCTTTTTACAGATTCAGACTAACACGGCTACCCCTCTGATACTTTCCTCCACAGTGTTTCCTTTCTTTCTCCAAGGAAGGCATCCTCTGATTTTTTTTTTTTTTTTAAGACTCCCAAGATACGCAGAAGAGCATTTAGAACTTATAAAACTTAAGCAATACATTTTAAGATTTTTCTTAAAAACAAAGTTTTTTCTGATAAGTTGGCTACAAAAGCTATTGAGCAATAGCTCTTAAAGTACATCTCTGAAGAAATTATGCTTAGTGGAGTTTAGCCAAACATACTCTTTATTAGTCAGGTTCAACAGCTTGCTTTAAGTGCCACCTATAAAATTGTATCGCATGACAAATAAAAGTGAAAACAGCTAGTTTGCTAACATTATTACAGTACTTCAAAAATATCCATGGCAACAGACTGATGACAAATGTAAGGCACTTGCTTAAAGAATAGCAGCTCAAAAACATCTGCAATGGATGGCTATGCCTATGGCTAACCTTGGAGCATTAAACTAAAACTGAGCTGCAAAACACAACTATGTACATAACAAACCCCCTAAAAGTCCCAAATGACCAAAATAGTAATAAGCTAAATATTTAGTTCTAAAAATTGCTAATACATTTAATGATAATTTTCATTTTTATTTTCAAAGTAAAAATTGATTCACTTGCTATAGTTGAGCACATTATTTAAACCAAAGAAGCAAAGGGATGCATTCCTTGCTCTGTTTTGAAAGTTATTGAAGTTGCTAATACAACCGTGGAAGCACAGAATCCCAGGTATAAAACTTTTCACTTTTAAAAAAAATGTATCACATTTTAAAACTCTTTAAATAGAGTGTTCCAAGAAAACAGGTAGTAAACAATTACTGATCACATTCCGATTCATATTTGATACACTGACTTTTCCATATAATTCTCTTAAATTTGTTTTTTTTCCCCCTAAGAGGACTAAAGCAGATGATATTTATTTGGATTTGACAGCTAAAAGGGTGGATTTTTAGTTAGCCATCTCAGAAGACAGACATGTTGGGAACAAGTGGTTCAGAAGGCTGAAATAGTTTCAATAACACCTCCACACTGGCTTTTACAAAGCACCATACCAGGAAGCAATACACAAGGTCCTAAATTAGCCAATGATGATTCTTTTCTGAAACACTGTGTGCAAAAAAAAAAAGCACACACATAGAGGGCAAAGGGTTCTTTAAAGACTGGTCACTACTGTGAGACTGGACCGTAGATGCCCTGGATTCAGTAGGAAAGACTTTTAATGTCTTATCAGTCACATGAAGAGGGGCTCTTTAAATTATGGGCTTGTGTATGTGTGGTGAATTTTTACTACACTCACCAAGAAGGCTAGTCAGGAGTTTATAGAGTGGACAAGACTCTGGAGGACTGAACCTGAACTTAGAAGATAACAAATGGGCACAGGATACAGCAATTCATTCTACACCAGTCACTTGTAGTCACATAACCCAGGGTACCTTGAGAGCCAATGTTAGGCTCAGACCACGAATATGTATTCAATGTAATCCTTTATCATTCTTTGCAACAAGGTTTGTTAAGGGCATTACCAATATTGTTTGTGCTATTATATTTCCTTTTTAGTTTGTGTTTATGCTGCATGTTTTATTCCTTGCAAATAAGCAGTGCTAACGTTTGCTACAGTCACTGTGATCGCATTGTATTTGAAGGTTGCCTGGATACACCAATAAAAATGAATCCATGCTATTCTGACCCAATTATGGGACCTGCTTGAAAAGGGTCCTTAGAATCTCTTAAAATATCAAGCTGTGTCACCTGGGACAGCATCAAGCATACATAGTACCAAGGCACCTGGAAGGAGCATAAGTAAAATATTTTAAAGTTGGAAATATTTTTACAAGGAGATTAGATGTAAGTATATGACAGACTGGTGTGCCACTTCTAAACAGCAACTAGCAGCTGCAAATATTCTGAACACTTGTTTTTGAAACTAGAAAATTCTCTCTAACTATAGCATAATTTACAACATTAATTCCCACTTCTTACCCACTGAGTAATTAAGCACTGTGGGGAAAGTCTCTGGGGCAGAATTAATCACACGACACTGAGTGTCAACTCTGATTTATGGCCCCATCTACACCACAAAAATAACCATGTTTAAAGATGGTTGTGGACAAACCATGTTCTATGTTTAACCATGTTTTTTTTGTAGTGTAGACATGGCCTAAGCAGGATGGTAACTAAGCAACTGATTCAGAATACAGGCCATGGCAATAAGGCTTTACAAGTAAAGCATTTAGAATTACCATTTGTCTCAGAAATTTTATTTTCTTGCAAAATGTGCACTCATTTACATGTAACTTGTAAGTTTCAAAGGCTGGTTGTGCTTTACATGTTATTAGAGCACTAAAGATTGTTAACCAGTGAGGAAACAGAGCAGGTGAGCTGAATTTTAAGCAAAAAGTTGGTATAATTATACCAATTGATACATCATGCATATTTTATATATATATTTGCTTATGAAATATGAAAGCAATTTTTCTAAGCTTAAACCTGCAGTGGCATTTATTTTATTTCCCAAGCAGAAGTTATACAATCCTTGTCCCTCATAGGGTTTGTTTTTGTTTTTTGCATAATACAAAATTTCATTCACTCAAATATTTTATTCCAAAATGCCTAAGAGGAGTTCACATTATGGAGTACTTGCCCACAAATTTCAGTTTTATTCTATGAAACCATATTTTCAGTGATACCAAGGAACTTTGATTGCTTTGGAGACTGCCAAACAATTCAATGTTTGGAGGGTGGATGGGGGGAGGGGGAGAAATCAAACAGCTTAAATAGTATTATATTAACATGACCAGGAAAGATGTAACTTATGTTTTCTGACGGGCAATGATAACTGTATGGGTCACAGGGGATTTGGAAGATACAAGTATATGTATTTAATAATAGTAGATATACTTGGATGTTTTTAAATGGCAAAGATCTTAATATAAATGAATTTCAAGACATACAGTTCTTCTGTATAGATTAAACATGGGGTAGTGATTCTTTTTTTAAGTAGTCATGCAGGGGACTGGACTAGACTACCTCTTGAGGTCCCTTCCAGTCCTATAATTCTATGCATCTACAATGCCCATCACCAGATACAGTAATTAATTGAGAATGGTGAGGAAATAATTCTGCATTTAAAAAAGGGATTAAACAATACAATAGTGCTAACTTACCAAATTATGTGACTGGGGAAAAGCATGTTTTGTAAGGATTTCAAATATATCTCTTCTGCTGTGACCTTCTTGTTTCAGTGCAAACCGTAGATTTCTCATATCCTAAAATGAGGACAATTACCTTTTAAAAAAGAAGCAAAGTAATACAGTATCTTTACTTTGTTTATAAATACTGTATTATCTGATGAACATGATTTAGAATGTACTCAATGTATCAAAAAACAAATATGAATGTTCATTTTAAGACCTCTCCTATTTTATGGTGTAAAAAAAAGGTACTCTATTTTAGGGCATAAAGAATTTTATAACTTCACATGCAACATATGATTGGAATAGAGAGTTTTACCTTATCGTGCAATACTGGTGCTCCTCCTCTTTGGCTTAAAACTGTCAGAAGCAATATTATTTGATTCACTAGCAAGTCTCATGGGCTACTGAATGTTCGTGGATTATGAGTTATTCTGTGTTTACAACATGAGTACTTTGCCAACAAGCTGTCTAGACTACACTGTCCTCAGACATTTCCTCTTGATTAACTTTAAAATTAAGAAATTTGCATGTTACTGTTGAGAACAGAGTTTGTGGCTTACATATTCCATTAAGAGTTATATAAAGGACTCCTGGATCATCAAAAAGGAACTCCTCTCATGACCATATTTTCTGTGGCAATATACATAGCCACAAATCTTGTGAGACTTAAGAAAACAGTATTAAAAAATGTATTGTTTTACAAGTATGCCTGCACCTTTGGGTTAAGGTCCTTTTTCTGGCAATGAAACCCAATACAACTATTTGACCCTTCCTATAAGACAATGGGTGGGTCTTTTAAGAAGTCTATAAAATAATATATTCATGACCTTTAGGAACTATAGGTGCATGAATTATGGCCTTGTTTCATAAAAGCAATTAAAATCCCATTGATTGTTGGATGAACAAAATACTTTGTTTTCTAATTTCTGCAAAAGATGTATGCAATAAAAAACTGACATCCATGAATTCTCTCTTTTTAATGAACTGTTGCAAGTCTTACTTTACAAGTAATATCTAGTCCATAGGAATTTTCTCCTCTACTTGAAGCTCCTCCCATTTTCTCAATCCTTGCAATTACACCCAGAGGAACATCCAATATCACAACTGGATCCTGGAAAGAAAAGATGAAATATAAAAGTGAATACAGTATTTCTGCCATTAAGCTTCATACAAAACTTATTTAAAAATCACAAGATATGTAGTCTATTATAGTCATAAAATATACATAGCAGGTGTCATGTATTCTGTAAATGAGTTTGTTTCTTGCTTTAACTTTACAATGCAGACCCAAAACTGACTTGGTGATAAGTTCTCCTCCTCCCCTCCCCCCAATGTGTGTTGAAAAATTGTGAAGTCACTCTATATTCCTGCCTATCTGATTTTTTCAGGAACTGCCAATTTGTGTCTCATTTCACTCAAGATATTGATGAAGCAGGAAAAGAGGAAAAAGTATAGAAGACACCTTGTAGTGACACTACATTAGCTCTGATTGTCTAATTGTAGGTAGAATAGAAATCAGTGAACTGAGAAGAATATAGCTAGTTATCCAGAGGTGCTAAAGTTCTAGTAAGACTGTTGGCTTGGATCTGTCTGACAAATAGATTCATTCTCAAAAATGTTAACAATATTCATACAATTAAGAAAAAATATAGCTTTAAAATAAGTTGAGCTAGTTTGTAATTTTCTGTTAATGTTTGAAATGATAAATGACTGCACAGATATCTGAGAAAAGTAATGAATAGTTTTCATCTTTCAAAGGCAACACCACAATCTTGCCTGCATTCATTTGTAAGAGTACAAATTAAGCTAAGACAATGAAACCTGAAAAATTATATACCAACTTTTTTAAATTAAAGATTTCTGCAGTAAAATTAATACCATATTGATTATTAAAAACCTAATGTTTCTGCTACTATCTTAACTGAATATCTCCTTCCTTTTGCTAACAATGCAAATCTTTTTCGTGACAGCTCTATTTTTCTTCACATGAACTCTGCTACAGGAATAAATTACTCTTGTATTGGCAATGTAAAACTATTGTCACAGCAATGAACTTTAGCACTGAAGAGGAAAATTGCCCACTTTTTTTGCATCTAAATATTGCCAACTTTTTGCATCCAAGTAATAAAAACTGTCTGAGATCGCAATGATCTCAGTTCAAGGGTTCTAAAACCTTGAGTCTGATCACAACAGAGCAGCCCATGATTTAGTTTTATTCTGTTTTGCACCCCTAATTTCTTGAACAGCCATTACTATTCCCCCACCAGTGCTGTTCTATGGGCAGAGATTCATAGATTTCAAGGCCAGAAGGGACCAAAACAATAACAAACAACTGCATCTCATTACTGGTCTTCAGTTATGCAGATTTGCATTGTGAAAATGTTTACACACGCTACTCACTAGTTCCACACTTCTTAAGTATAGTCTGTAGTTTGTAACATACAGTCTTCCTTTAACAGCACCATTAAATGGACATACGTAGATAACTTCCTTGTCTGTAAATGAGAAACAGCATTTACCTTTAAAACATTATGAAAAAGCATAATTTAGGAGTTAAGGACAACACTAATAAGAAGCAATAAAAAGGATGACTGTACTCATAATACAAATTTTATTAAGAGAAGGATCTGCATGAGGGGAAAACTTTTACATGTTAATTAATAGAGACATTTAGAAAAAAAGTTGAACGTTTCAGATTCTACACCCGCCCCGAGTCTGTTGATTTCTGACTACATCTGTATTTTCCTCTTCCTCACTGCTGTATGAAAGAACTACACAAACATGAGGAAGCGACTGGGATTTAAAATCTCTCTTTTGTAGCTGTTGGACTGTTCCTTTAAGATTCCAAAGTGAAAACATTCTTAATGTTGATATTGTTTCATCTTTTGATGCTCTACAATAAATTCTCATGTGTCAAGGTACACAGTTCTATTTGTAAAGGTGTGTAGGGGCTCATCATTAACAGTTCATCCTGGAGAAAACTACTCAATTTCACTTTGACCAGAGGCAAAGAACAGTTCACAGGGCAGCCTATACTGCAAATACTGGAGCCCTGGAGGCACTCTAAATACATCAGTACCCCTACTACCAATTAGTGAGGGCATCTACAATGCAAAGAAATACTACTACATATACAAATAACTGCTCTTAAGATCTATCATAAGCTTTGTGAAAAAAATCTTATAGTAGTTATTACTGCTCTCATTAAACAGAGATTTCATTGTGCAGTACATCCATTTTTCTCCCCACTTATTCTCCTGGCCCACTCTCCCCACCCACCCCCCACATCAAAAATTCCCACTCATTCTGTAGTACACTAACATAGGGAAAATCCGGGGAGCCATTCCTCCTCCCCCGATCTACTCTGCCCCCATTCCCTCCTTCACTTGCTCTATTAAAAATCTAGAAAATTCACATTAAAAAAATATGTAAAACCAGTTAAGGTTTTCATAAATGTGATATCTTTCCAAAACAAACCATTAGATACAAAGAGTATGTCTACACAGCAACTAGACACCCACGGCTGGCCCATGCTAGCCAACTCGGGCTTGCGGGGCTCGGGCTGTGGGGCTGTTTAATTGCTATGTAGACTTCCGGGCTCGGGCTCCAGCACGGGCTCAGGGGCCCGGAGAAGTGGAAGGGTCCCAGAGCCTGGGCTCCAGCCTGAGCCCGGAAGTCTACATGGCAATTATACAGCCCCGCAGCCCAAGCCGCGCAAGCCCAAGTCGGCTAGCATGGCAGCCATGGGTATATAGTTGCTATGTAGACATACCCAAAGAAATGTCAAGCTAAAGGACTCCTTTTAATGGGACCCGAACACCCACACAGCACATTTCCACTGAGGGGGTAGACTCCACACCTTCACAAGGATCAGCCTTTGGTCTCCAACACATAAGGAAACACTGCATACAGTCTTCCTCCCACTGTAATGCAAAAACCTTCACTACAGTATCATACTTCCCTAACACAACAGGGCAACACCTGGCAGGTGGGCACACGTCAACCCTGACACATGCTAATGTTGCTGAAGTTGTAGTTAAAGTTGCACAATATTGTGTGAGGGAGATTGATGTGTTGTATGCAGCATATAAAAAGGGAGTGTGGGAGTCCTGTCATTGCAAACGTGCTGTATGGGCAGTAAGTTACAACTAAGAGGTGTCCCTTACCTTGGCATTTCCTTGCATTTAAGGGTTTGCACTGGGTGGATGTCACACTTCAACAACCTTGAATGTTCTTTAAAATAAAATGTTTGTTTATGGGAGTTCAGTAAAAGTTACCCCACTACAAATTCACAACAGTACAGAGATAAAACTACATATATATGGCCTACTAATCCTTCAATATGCACTAGGTTAGATTGTTCAATGATAATTTTTTACCTGTGACGCTAGTTTCTCCTGGTAGATGAGGTATTTCCTCATTTTGTTCCCATTTAGTTCCATCTTTTGGGGTCTAAAGAGAAAGGGTGGTATAAAAACAAATTCATACTTGGTGCAACTTCTTCAAATCTTATAGATATAAACTGTTTTAAAACACAAAATATCCCGTACATGAAGGAATAGGAACTTCAGTACAGGAACTGACATAGCAAAGCAAAGCAAAAAGGAACCCTTAAAATAATAATTCAACTCTGTGCTTAATGTTATTTGCTAAAGAAATATTCAAAAATAGTTTTTGCATTTAACTGGAATAAAATATCTACATCTCAATGTCTCGAAAGGTTTTGTAGCTTCCAATTGTCTGTAATAAGAGTTATTCATCAGAGTTGCTTAGTTCAAGAGTTTAAAAATCTGTCCCACTTTTCAAATAGTTATATAAGCAAAATGTTCACCTTACTATTAGACACACGTTGCACATTTGGCGCTTATATTTTTTAATAAAGATTTTAAGAGAACAGTGAGTGACAAGGCTGTAGTTCAACAGAAGTATTTCTGCAGAAGGTAGTGAGAAATATTTTTAAACAGCAAGTAAATAAACTTCTATTATGCTACTTAAGTGCAAGGATACACAGTCCACCAGGTAATGCAGAAGCAGCATCTATTTGCCTCAGAATAAAATCAAGCTAAAATAAAATACAATAAAAATACTTCCCCTCCCAATACTTGTGACGAAAGAGTGGAATTTCGTAGAGAGTACTTATCTTTAGGTAACTTTATTTAATCTCAAAGTGGGCCAGCTACTACGTGTGGTAAGATACAACTTGTTTATTAATTGTGTTACAGAATTTTTCTGAAGACAAAAAGAGCTGAATAGTAACAAAATTACAACATTCAGCAATACTAGAAAAAGTGCATAGCAATTTGCAAATTGAAACAGGTGCTATAAAACTTTCGGGTGCTATAAAAACCTGGGATAAGAAATTTCTTTGTTTTCATAGGTTGATGCTTCAATCTTACAGTTTATTGTTGTTTCAAGTTGCATTTGAACTTTGGAAACAAATAATTTATACAATTAAGAATAATAGAAGTTACTCAATAAATATTCAGTTTTGTGCTCAAGAACCTGAAAGCTAATGACCCCTGGGATACCTGACTTAAAAAGTGAAAAAAATACATAGCCACAATAATACAGAAGAAGCTACACTCACCCTTTTAATTGACGAGCTCTCCAAGGAGTTTGAATTATATTTAGGTGGTGATGATGAGGCCATATTGGGGATCTGATGAGAAAGCAGATATTGGAAGATATAGATTTATTCTAAAATGCCTTGCAATCTAACATTTTACTCAATTAATCACAATATTTTAAAGCCTCCAAAATAATAAAATAATAATATACTAGTTTTTTTAATTCCTTCCCCCAGCCCCAAACAAAACCAATACCTGGAGTCCATATATATATATATATTTTTTTTTTTTAAATGTGATTAATGGAATAAATAACTCTGCATACTTAGCTATTGTGTTCTGCTACACAGTAGAAACATATACCCTCGTAATCTGTCACCTGAAGGTTTAATATTATGAACTTTCATTTAGGAATACGGGGAACAAAATTAAATTAACTGGCATTTATCACACAGACCTTAAAATTTAAGCTTATAAGTTTACTCAGAAGTGTTTCAGAAAGATTGAGAGACCAGAGTGGGAAAAAACCAGAAGGAATTCCCCAGGATTTTTATAGTCAGAAAACACAATCCCAACTTCCTAAAATTGAAATGTCCATGAAGCCACCAGCAGGGGGAGTTTACCATCTTTTTCTTGATCAGAGTAGCCTTGATGCATTTAAATGAAGAGGCTGCTTTTTTATTTTTCTTTTTTTCTTCTTCTTTTAATTCAAGTTTAAAAAGCTGGTTTTGATTAAAGACAAAAGTGCGCCATTTCAGGATTTACTCTATAAAGCGAACTTCAGTTTATTTTTTCTGATTTTTGCAGTGGAGGAACCTGTCTGCTTTAACCTCAGATGGGCAGAGGTGCAAGACTATTTTCCAGTAACGTATTTTTCTTCTACCAGTGACACGTTTCCTTAAGATTAACTATTAACTGAAAGCAGTCTTTTGAAAGGTTGTGGCTTTTAGGTAATAAAACCTAACGATTGCTCTTATTACAGCCTTAATCAACAATGTTGTGTCCATGGATAAACTCACGGTGGCTTTTTTCCTACAGACTTTTGAAAAGATCCCTTTTGTCACCTGGTTTAATCTACCTCTGCTTCTGCACAATAGCATGACACCAATGACGCTGCAGCAGTGTGAAACAGGCAGAAGTGATACCAGCAGTTTAGAATTGTGACCCTACTTGTTTTTAAATTGCTGTGACTGTACAGGAAAAGCACTCCAGTGCAGGAGGAGCACAAGGGTAAAATAGAACTATCTGTGAACTTCACTGGCTTGTCTTTTGAATAAGAGCAGGCAAATATAGGAATCCTAATATTCAACTTATTTACAAGTCTATTTAAATTATTTTATGCTGCCATGATTTATGGCTTAGCAAAAAAAATAGTGGAAAGTATAAAAACACGCCTTCAGAAAACAAATAGAAACCCATTAATATTCCAAATGAAAACATGAGGAAAAAAGAATCTTGTGATTCAGCATGTTAAACAGCTTGTTTAACACTGTCATATCAAAGCATCACTTCCTTCCTAGATCTTGCTGTTTCAACTTTCTCCAAAACTTGCTTTGGTTGTGACCCAGAAGTGATTTTGGAATTTTTATTCAATTTAAACATTTAACCAGTTGAGCTCAAGAACCACCTTATCTTTGGACTCATGAAACTAAGAAACTATTTTGTTTTAAAACTTACAATTTGGAACATACCAAGTGCTGAGGGAATTCTAATGCCTTTGCCATGTTTCATAGGAAGATATGTTTTAGAACAGTACACTCAATTTAAGTGTGGTATTTCTATTTGTGCCACCTTCAGGATGAACTGTTCCTAGTATTCAGCAGACAATACCTCAGAAACCACAGCTGTGTTGATTTAATAATAGAAATGGCAACTAGGAGTGAGAGAAAGTGGTTTGGAACTAGCAAATTTTCAGACAAATTTTCATAGTATAAAAAATATTGAACACAAGTTTGCAACCTTTTCTAAATCATAATGCTGTCATTTGTATATATTTGAATACTCAACCGTCAAATGGCTGAAACTATTTTCTTTAAACTAAAACTGGCTTTTAGCTGATATTTTTTGTACTTATTCTTGGTTCAAGTTTATTTTTATTAAAATAAGAAGAAAGACTGTCCATTAAGCCATTTCACATACAGATGTTCACAAAGATACCTGAGCATTTACTGAAATCCCCCTTAAAAAAGATATTCAGTTACAAGTTTATTTTTTAAAAGGTGAGGAAAGTTAAATACAACATTAAGACTGAGAGTTTAGTTACAAAAAACATGTAATTCAGAGCGTAGAGTCCTTATTTCTTCTCGAAGAACAATAATATGCATTTATTTAGTATCTTATATTAGAAACTATACAAATGTGAGTTACGTCTTATATCACCCATATAAGGTAAGTAGGCATAGAAAATGAGTGCACGAAGGCACAGAAAGGGCAAGTGACTGGTCCAAGATCACAGCAAATTAGCAGTGGAACTGCAACAAACTGAAGGAATCCTAAACCCCTCAATTCCCTTGTCTGGCTACTGGACAACACTTCCTCCTATATTACAGGCACACAGAGTTGATTGGGGCTGTATGTAACTGTACAAGTTGAATTGCACAGCTAAAACCCAGTCATCAAATTCACAGGACAGGCCTTATAATTTTAGTCCCATTACTTTCTTTGTATTTATGCAGAGGTTCACTGAATGGAGAAAAAAGTCTACTAGATACTTGCTAATTTATGGTTATAAAACCTTGATACACAGCAGTACAAAAAAACCCAAACTGCTTTCATCCCATCAGGCCACTGAAAAACTCAAGTTTTCTAGTACAACTTGCGATGGAGCAAAAAAGTATGTTTGCTACACAAAGTAGAACATATGCCACAAATACTTCTAGGAACTCTATTTGTCAATACTTCATAAGCCTTGTTTTTCTAGATATTTCAGTGATGATCTCAGTAATGATAGGAACAAAATCATTTGCTGACTTCTATCTATTCCAAAAGATACAAAGAAGTGAAACATGTTCATATATAGTCACAGAACAATAGTCAAATAATTCAGTTTCATTTCCAATTGCCAGAAATGGCAAAAACTGAATTTCTTCAAAGCTATTAATATCAGATAAGCTCTTACCACCAAACTAAGAGAAGTTCTTCATTTCCCTTACTTTATATGTAAACTATAGTCAAGTAAATTAAACTCTGCCCAAGACTTTATGAAGAAATAAGACAATGAACTAAATTCTAAATTAAGATCTACTTGAACAGATCAAGTTCTCATTTACAGTACCTGCCAATTCAAGAAGTACCCGATACTGTTTTTTCTTCAGACTAGAATAACTAACTGATTTTCAGAAAAGGTTTTTAAATTTCACATTAAACATTTCCCTTTAAAACATTGATTTCTTTTCTTCTGTGGAACAGATTAGAAGAGTTGTTTCTGGCAAACTGCCAAAGTGATATTGCTGCAGAGTCCAAAGGCATAGTCTATCATAGTCCTAAAATAGTTTCAACTTTCTAATTATTATGCAGCAACAGCAGTCATTCCATAGTAAGAAATTTGCAAGTGAACCAGTTTTGATCCCCTCTGCCCCCCCCCCATCCCTCACAAATACACTGCACAACACAAACCCGTGTAAAAAATATAAACCTCAAAGTTGCTAGGTTAGATCTTGGGCAGACACAGAATGTTTCTGCAAAACATTTTAAACGAATCATACAAAGAACTGCTGTATTAGGACATCCTAAATACACAGTGTGTTAAATAGTTGGAACATTCTCCCCCCAGCCATTGTGCAGGGAGAGAAAAAAGAAGATACAAAGTGTACTTTTACTTAAATCTGGTTGCTAGATCTCAAGTAGGTTAAGATATAGTTGTTTAAAGTCTTATTACAAATGTTATTAAAACATGATATAGTAACATTGCCAGAGAATGATGGTTCAGATGACCTCAAAAAATGATTCGGACCTAAGTTTTCATTAAAAAACAAAAAACTATACCTATACTAGGTCTGCCTAAGGTTCATAAGGTTGGGGCCTCACCAAGCTTCCTCAGAGCTTGAAAGAGTAGGCACCAAAGGCCCGATTTTTACCAGGTATTCAGGCACCTAAAGATGCAGGCTAGGCACCCAGTGGAATTTTCAAAACCACATAGTTCTCCGAAACCCCCAGTGATTTCAATAGGAGTTTGGTATCATAGGATTTTCAAAAGTGCCTAGAGGTACCTAACTGCATCTTTAGGACTTAAATACCTCTAAAAATCTGGTCCTAAGCCTTGAGAGTAGCTTGTCAAGCCCACTCAAAGATCATGGATTGGGAGTGACTATTGAGGCTCCTTGCAGGGTTTCTTTCCTCCCGCAAATTGCAGGAGGTCCACAAGAGGGCAAAAACCTCAACTTCCCTTCAATCCTCTCGTTTTGTCACCCTCCCTAAAGAACTTGGGAGATCTGCAGGAGTGAAAGAGAGAGCAAGAGGCATTCACTCTTTTCCTGAGCACTTCATCACCCCCTTATAAAATTTGGCAGCTCCCCTCAAGAATTTGCAAAGCTCACTAGGACAGTGGTTCTCAAACTTTTGTACTGGTGACCCCTTTCACATAGCAAGGCACTGAGTGCGACCCCTCCCCCTTATAAAATATATTAAAAAGTGTTTTTAATTAACACTATAATAAACCTATTGCTGGAGGTGAAGCGGGGTTTGGGGTGGAGGCTGACAGCTTGTGACCCCCCATGTGATAACATCGCGACCCCCTCAGGGGTCCCGACCCCCAGTTTGAGAACCCCTGCACTAGGACTCTTAAAAGGTTTGAAAACCACCAACAACTCCGTCATTAGGATCTAATGCCCAGTGAGCCAAATTTGGATCACTGGAGTCCTGACAAGAGTGATTTGGCTCATTTGGGGTCCAGGATCCAATTAAGGATCATTTGACACTGATGAGTCTTCTAAAGCCTTATCTATATACGAAAATTACTGTTTAACTAAAATCGGTATTTAAATCAATATTGTTATAGTTGTGCAAACCCTTATGCGGACACATTTAAAGTCACTTATACCCAACATATCAATTTAACTTTATTCAAATTACATTGAGGCATGCATACTTACTA